CGGGGCTTACTATAAACTGACTTCTTTGTTACTTACCTTGACAGATACTACTCTCCCGGCTTTAGCATCAGGACTCTAATAGCACTTTCTTCGCACACGCTATGCCTTCCAGACTATTCTTTCCTATTTTGGTTCTTGCAAGACCAAGCTACATTTACAGCAAGTTGTTCATAAAGCCGAGGGATAACTATCTGTAATCCGAGAAGTTGCACTCATTGTCATATTTTATCAAAATTTATTTGCATAGACTAATCAACTTATGTTATTATGTATTAATTCCTCGTTTGTTTTAAAGTCGGGTCCATTTGCCAGCCCTGAACATCAAGAAAAATCAAAACCTGAGCCCGCACAGAGTTCTAGCACCGCATCGGAAAGAGCATCTCGTCCCGCCTGCATTATTCTGGCCAACTTTTTCCGTCGGTTGTTGGCCAACCGATCCCGAAGGGGATCGAGCTATGAATCAGACTGTATGCTTAGCTCCCTTTCTCCGGACCCACAGAATCCGGGAACCGAATCCGTCTCTATTGCGGCTGCAACGGGATCGGACCGACCGACATTTGTAACCTCTACTGAGGAAAGGGATCTGTGCCTCGCTGGACATGTAAAGAGTTGGAAGGCTGGACAAAACGCTGCCTGAGCATGACAATAAGATCAGCGATTAGCCCGGATTTTACAACTTCTGTATGCATGTGGTGATCTACGTAAAAAACTCACATGTTCGACCCCGGTCTTTCATGTTGCCTTAGTGTCTCCTGCCTTTGGAAGTCTCAGCTATCTATGCCAAAAAATGGCTGTTCTTCATTTTTCCTCTATTTTTTTTATACGTGGACTCTTTTTTCCTCAACTTCTGGTGCAGCCTGCAGCACCTTTTGTAATGCAGTCTTATCACTATTTCCAGAAGTGCCAGGTCCTCCGTGTTTGGACATGTGATGACGCCATTTGTCCTCCTCTTCCGGTTTTCATAATCAGTTTTGTCTGCAGTCCAGGGATCCGGAACAGCATAACCCCTTATTGCCTGTACCTATTAGACAATCCATTTTTGACAGCATTGACATTATTTATTCGCAACGTACTTCATCATTTCAAACTAAGTGTTTTGCTTATTTGTCCGCTTTCCCATCACTCATACAACCCTCGCATTGCTCTTTTTCAACTTGGCCTTATTGGTTCATATCTGTAATTGTTTTGGTCATTGACCTCTTAATTTCATTCGGCCTATCTTGACTTATCTCGTGCTATTTTGCTTTGTCCGGAGTCTTCTATTCGCATCGCGCAGGATGAAGCTACTTTTTACTTCACCAATGCACTGTCTAGTTATGTGTCCGCAAGCAGACGCTTCGATGTCTCTGAATATGTATATTATTCTTGGCTCACAATTACTGAGATTCGACTGGTCCTATCAAGCCATTTCTTCTTTTATCTATTTTTATAATTTCTGTCATCTTTTAGTGATATTTCTTTCTACCTGCCTATTTCTCAAAATTCCGTTTTTTGTCTCCTCGTTTATTCTATATGAATTATATCCATCAACTTTCCCTCTTAAGAACACATCTTTGTTAATTTTATGAAATTTACCTCTTCCCAGCTCCGTGTTATTTGCACCTTGCCAATTGTAAACTGTTATCTCGCTCTTTTCATAAACGTTCCATATGCAGCTCAGCTAATGAGCATTCATTCCGTTGTCTCT